TGGCCGGAGGGGGGGGGAACGGAAGCAGGAAATACACACACCCCAATCGAGAGACGGGGGGGGGACCAGAACAACGGCCAGCCATCCTTGGCAAGCCGAGTGGTGGGGGCTCTGCCTAGCCCAGCCCAGGGACAAGGGTGTGTGTGTTGTTGGAGCCCCCTCCCTCTCCACAAAAGCAGACAAATATCCCCCGGCCAGGGCAGAACCCCCCGCGAACTTGGCTGCAGAAAAGACCGGTGGGCCAAGGCAGGGGAGATGGGTCTCCATCCCCACCCCCGCCAGCCAGCCAGCCAGGGTGGGGGCACCAAGGGCTGGCTGCCATGGGAATGCACCGACCGGCCTGGCCACCGGCTGCTGCTCTTGGGCACCTGGCAGCCGAAAGGGAGGGAGGCCAGGCGGGCACCATGCCCCCATTCCCAACCACCCACAGGGAGGGGCCCCGCAAAGCAAAGCAGCTGCCCCCCCTGACCCAATGCTTTTGTGGGAAGGGGAAGGAGGCCAAGAGGACACAGCCACAATGGTCAAGGTGGGGGGGGGGGGTACTGTGGACCACTCCCTCCCTCAAACCCTGCCTTCCTGGGCATCTCCCTCAGACGAGGCCTCGGTCTGGAAAACGGAAGGGTGCCCCTTTGGCTGCAGGGCAATCCCAAGACATGGGCATCCCCTACGTGCCCATCCTTCTTGCCAGAGAAAGTGCCACAGCCTCACCCACGTCCGGGATGTACGTGGCGGGGCAGCCATCACCCCAAAGCCTCCCACATGCTGGGTGGGCCCCGTTGCCCTAGAGGTGGCGCCAGAAACGGGACCGCTGCCCCCCCTGAGCTGTGGCTGAGGGGACGGGCACATGCAAACACCCAAAGCCCCTCCTCACTCAAGCCCCTGCATACCCCCCCCCCCGGTTGTCCAGTCAGTCAGGGCAGCTGACAGCAGAAGTGCCCCCAACCCCACCCCAGCAGTGGGGCAGCACCCGTTCTTCTTGAAACCTTCCCACATTTAGCCCTCTCCCCTGTCATGGCATAGCTCTGCCCACCATTGGAGGGGGGGGTGGAATCTGGCATGAAGAAGGAGGCTTTGTTCACAGGAGGGCACACGCAGGGTCCCCTTAACCTCCCTCCCCCCCCACCAGGAAGCACAGCATGAAACGGGCAGCCTGGCAGCCCAGGGACTCTCTCGCCCTGCCCGACAGCTGGAGGCACAGGAATGCCCCCACCCCGTCCCTCTGGGCGCCATGGGGCCTGGCTTCAGAACCCATGCCACCCCAGCAGGGGCACGGGTGGACATCCCCTGCCCCCTAGCACGATGCACGGCAGGGGGGGGGGATAGCCCTACTTGGGCCCCACTCCATGCCCCCATCACCTGCCCTGGCCACGGCCTCAGGCAGCGGTATTGGAAGAGGGGGCGGCAGCTGTGAGAAGCGGGCCTTGCCCAAGGCACCAGGGCTATTCCCCAAACTGGAGGCCAAGGCAGAGAAGGGGGGGCTGAGCCACACCAGAGGAAGCCCAACCGAATGCCCCCCCGCCCCA